AGGTGAGTGGAAAGGCTAAAACATTAACAAAGAGTAAATTATAGGGAGAAACTTGATCACAGCATCCCAGAGATCAAAGGTGGACATAAGCAGTGCAAGATAGGTGGGGGGAAAAGTAGAACCGTGCAAAGGTATGGCATCAGAAGGTGAAGTTTGCATATCCTAGCAAAAACGTACACTTCATTTCCTGGGTGGGGAATGCAGAAGGGATTGTGCTGTCCTCGCAAATACAACTGGAAAAAGCAAGGCCAAGCATCTCATTTTCCAGTTGTGAAAAACGCATAACTAAAAGTGGACAAAATATTTCAGAATTCAAATGTCGCACTTTGTGAAATGGCTGTTTCAAGGACAAAACTGGCTGTTCCAATTGATTTAGGAGTCTTCTGAAATGATTAAAGGAACAAGAAGGGGAGAGGAAATCAAATTCAAAGCAATTAGAATCCAGAAACATTTTGTACATGATTCTGTGTAGCCAAGTCAGGAGAAGTGAGCTAGGGGTTTAAAGCAGAGGTGGGAAACTGGGGCCTCTTTATGACTTGTGGACTTCAACTCACAGAATTCCTGAGCCAGCATGGCTGGTTCAGGAATTCTGACAGTTGAAGTCCACAAGTCATAAAATGGCCTTCGTTCCCCTACCCCTGGTTTAAAATGTTTCCTACATTTGTACGAAAAGTAAATGAAGGCAAAAACGAGGCAGCAAACTCTTTTAGCGAAAGCTCTGCATAGTGCCCTGGCATGGTTAGAAGTGGAGCACCTAGGATTAATCCATCACTTAATAAAGACCACCTCACATTTCCTTGATTGACTGAGGTTTAATACACATACAGTCCACACATAATATTTTCAGAGAGGCTCTGAATGAAATTATTCCTACCTTTAAGAACATAGCACCAGGAGTCATAATCAGCGGTAGATGATTAGGTTCTCCTGACTCACAAAACAAAAGACAAAACTTTTTCCATTTTAATTTGGAAAGGTCACTCTGATTTGATTTTACCACTCCCTGACCATAGAAAAAAAACTTTGGAAATCTACATTTCTTTGGTTTTCTTATAGGGTTTTTTGGAGGGGGAGGGGGGGTGGACACTTAAAGTTGCTGAGAGCTCCTCCGAGACAAAGGAATTTACTGGAAAGGGAGCACCGGAAAATATATTCCCTTGTGGGAATGTTGCCTTCCCTTCCCTTAGGGAGATTTTAAATGTGAAAAATATGTAGCAAATCCTGATGATGATTAACATGTTTATTTGTGTCTCTGAAAAACAAACATTACATTCTAAATGTACTAATTCAAAACAATGTATGTGGCCCAAAACCAAGAATGACACGTGGCAGTTCTTCCAAGCTTCATTGTTTCCCCTTCATTGTTTCACACCTATAGAGGATATCTTGCCAGACTAAGGACTATACTGTCTGCATCTACAGTATTTTCTGTAAGTCAGGGGTCTCCAAACTTGGCAACCTTAAGACTTGTGGACTTCAACTCCCAGAATAGCTATGCTGACTGAGGAATTCTGAGAGTTGAAGTCCACAAGTCTTAAACTTGCCAAGTTTGGAGTAGGAAGGGGCTGTCTTTACCCTCTTTCTCTCACACATGATACCTGGGCTCAGCTGCCTCTTACTCCTCTGGATAAATCCCCAGTTCAGTCTTCTCCTCAGATTCTGTGGCTGAGGTGAATTTAATGTTGATTTTTTAAATGCTGTCTACTAGGGCTGCTTTTTACAATCCAGTGAGTAGGACTGTATCATCAACAATTCTGAGCCACAATACATTAGCTGGAGATTAAAATTAATTAGAATTTTAATTCTAGTTGAGAATATCTAAATTAGGATGTGTTTCCTGATAGCTAGGAGCCTATCTATGTTGGAATGTAAATTCATGACTTGCAGAAGTGGCTCTTTTTCAGCTGAGTGTATTATAGGAGAAGGTGAACAGTGCCCTATCAGCTCCACCACCATAGATAATTGTAATTGTCACTGTTGTGCTCTGTACATCTGGAGCTCTCATGTTGCCTATCTCTGATGCAAGATGAATTGTTTTTGGGAGAATTAAACCTAATATTGTATCAATATAAAGATAGGCTATATCAGTGGTGGCAAACCTTTTTCGGCTCCCGTGCCGATAATTGCACGTGCGCTCATGTGCTGGCGTTCCAGAACCCAGAAGGCAATGCATGCTGGTCCCCCCCACACCTCTTGAGCCTGCGCATGCAATCCTCTCGCAGTGCTGCACATCTGTGCATGCGCGTGTGATTCTCCTTGTCGCGTGCTGTGCATCTGCGCATGTGCATGTGATTTTCCTTGCTGCGTGTCACGTGCCTGCACCTGCATGCACGATCGCTCCCACATGGCACGCAGCACTGTGCATGCGCGTGCGATCACTCCCAGGCATCATCCATTTGCGCATATGCATGTGATCCCTCCGTGTGCTGCGCATCTCTGCACATGCACCCACGACCCCCAGTGCATGCTGCGTGATTCTCTGCATGTGCATGTGTCTCCCACGCACCCCTCAAGCATGCACGCCAGATATACAACAATCAGCTGTCGGGCAGCGGTGCACACGCATGTGCAGTAGGGCTCTTTCGGGCAAGCTCTCATGTGCCGGGGGAAATGGAACTCGATTTCATTGAGGGACGCATCAAGGTTCCGGCACGCATGGCATAGGTTCGCCATTACAGGGCTAAGTTATCTAAGTATTTAGAACAGGCTAAGGAAGAGAACAAAATTTCTAGGGAGCATTATTTGGACTAAGGACCTGATTATATATGAATGGACTCTCTAAGATGTCTTTTTTGCTTATATATTTAGATAAGATATAGCCTATCTTTATATTGATAGGATATTAGGAGTCATGATGGCACAGTGGTTAGAATGCAGTGTTGCAGTCTAATTCAGTTCACTGCTAGGAGTTTGATCCTCACCGCTCAAGGTTGACTCAGCCTTCCATCCTTCTGAGATTGGCAAAATGAGGACCCAGTTAATTGGGAGAAATATGCTGACTCTGTAAACCGCTTAGAGAGGACAATAAAGCACTATGAAGCAGTCTATAAGTGCTATTTCTATTTGTGCTCTTAAGGTTCTTGTGCAAAGGTGTCAAACTCTATTTCATTGAGGGATGCATCAGGGTTCTTTTTGACCTTGGTGGGCTGGGTGGGCATGACCAGGGTGCATGGGGTCAGGGTGGGCATGGCCAGCTTGACATCACATGTGTTGGGGGCACCTGTGATGGCCTTGGTGGGGCTGGGGGGATCCTCCTCTAGCCTTCTGCCAGCAAAAAATAAAGCTCTGGAGGGCCACATGTAGCTCTCCCAGACTCCATTTTCGGCCACGACAGCCTCCTCCAGCATTCTGCCAGCAAAAATGGATCTCAGGAGGGGGCTCCATTTTCACTGGTAGAGGCACCGCGGGCCAGTCCTTCACTGTTTCCAGGGAGGCCCTACGGGCCGGATCTATGTGATTGTATGTAATGCTTAATAGCATCGATCATTTTTTCTTTCTCCTAAGTGATGATGTGAATTCAGGGTTATTTGGGGAAAGAGTATTGTGCTAGAAATCAGCCTACTCTTTGAGGGAGATGGGCAGTTCAGAAATGCAAAGGTAAGTAGGTAGATAGATAGATAGATAGATAGATAGATAGATAGATAGATAGATAGATAGATAGATAGAGCAGTAGCACTTAGACATACACCGCACCACAGTGCTTTACAGCCCTCTCTAAACATATTGCCCCTAACAATCTGGGCCCTCATTTTACTGACCTTGGAAGAATGGAAGGCTGAGTCAATCTGCTGCATTGCTGGCAGTTGGCAGTCAGCAGAATTGTGGGGTAGCAAAAGCAGGCAAATATTGATCAGCATTGCCAAGTCTAAAAGTCTTTGATCTCTAAATACTCCCTAGTTACCCCAGATAGCAAGTGGGTGGGAACTAGCTTAGGGAATTTTCCCTGTTTCTGATACAACTTCTGTTCTTTTTCTCTGCTGTAAAGACAATTGAATCATTCAGAGTCTCTGTAGCACTCACACTTTTAGGATTATGGGAAGACAAAAGTTGCTGTTGTGAAATTTAACTATATGTCCTCAGGACTTGGATATGACTCAATAATACAAATACACTAGTCATGCTTCATCTTATATTAAATAATTTCATAGAAAGTTCTTTGTCAAACAGAGTGTTTTTGTTGCAGGGGGCTTTATTTAGCTGGAAGAAAAGCTTCAGCTAACATTCTCCCTAACTTTATGGTTTTCAAATAAAAGGAGGCTTTGAGCAGTGACAGAATAATTATTCCTTGCATCAGAATGATAAACTACAGTATGTACCTAGTACCCACTAGAAACCCTTTAATACATTGTGATTAAAATGTGTTGGTCTCTATAGATCTGCTGCATTATCATGCAACCAGAAGTAAAACATGCTGTCCACTCTCAGAAACCATCCTTGGTTCTGACCATGACGCTATGAGAGAGACCACTGTCAATACTAGAAATAAATGAAAAAAAGCAAGAACAAATAGGCAGCAAACAAATCCAGTCTTTCAGGTCTTCCCCGATATCCATATGTTCCCAAATAAAGCAAAGTGAGATGTGCTACTGAAATCCCAGCTTCATCTGAGATTGTGGCGATAAATCTTACTTAGATGCTTTGAAGTGACATAAAGTCACGTTGGGTGCATCCTGAAATTCTGAAAGACTGTCTGAAAAGGAAAATGCGATCCTCCCGTCTGTTCAAGAAGTATCTAGTAAAGTAGAAATGTGCTCCGAATTTTATATGTTCTCCATGTTCAACTCAGATGTCTTTCTATTCCTCTGTGGATGACGAGATTGGTTCTGCATATGGCCTTTTTGTACATATAACCCATGCAAATTACTGCCCAATTTATGGTATCTTCTGTGAATTAGGTTATTTATTCTAGACTAGCTCTTTTGCTGAACACTTAGTATCACAATTATCCACTTGCCCAATTGGATCTGATATTTCTAAACCATATGTCTTCTTCCCCGCAGGTGTACATTATCAAGGTCACTTGGTCCAATGGCTCAACAGAGGCAATTTACCGACGATATAGCAAGTTCTTTGATCTGCAGGTAAGATTTCTAAATTTCTGTCAGAGAAATTTTACAGCTCATTTTATGGAGCTGTAATATTATTTTACCTGGTTTTGTGCTCACAATGTATCTTTAAGGCAACATCTTTTATACTTACGTGCATGCAGCCATATACCTAATATTACTGCCTTGGGTACTATTTTAGACTTGATACAAAAATAATTCACCCTATTTGTCTCCAGACTTTTGCTCAGCTATTTTCTTTTCCTTTGTAATAGCTAGCAGGAGAATTCTTTCCTGTAAATATATAAGATCATTAAATAGGTTATAACAATATTAAAATACCAACTTTTAATCAAAATCAAAGCATATCTATAAGTATTATTGAATAATCCAAAGAATCATATCTTCATCTGATCAGAGATAAGAAAGATTCTGCTTGGGTCAATCTACCCATGTTTTTAAGTGATCTAGACTAGGTCATAACCATGTTTATATTAGTAACCTAAATAGGAAGAGCTTTATCAATTACATTTCAATTGTGGATTGGATTAATGTGTGATGATAACTTTCTCTTCAGTCACTTCAGACAAAGGGATGATTTTCATAGGAGCAGGATTTTTTCTATAAGCTCATACTGTTTTGTGCTGGGCATGAGATTTTAGATGCCACTATCAAGAGAATATTTGAGGCTCAGGGCTCAACATTATCTTTGAGCTTGGTTGTTTTCTTGCAGACATTTCTGATGATGTTACCCTGGTGGGTAATGAAATGAAAAGAAATGTCCCCACAGGACCCCACAGATGCCACTATTTTGAAAGGAAAATGCTTTTGGCACCTGAATAGATTTTATTTATTGATTTAATGAATTTGTAAGGTAGCATATCTCAATTCTGGCTGGTGAATAATATTAAAATGAGTTAAAAACAATTCCAATCAGAAATACAAACATTAAAATACACAGTAGCTGAGGAAGGTATCAAATCAACAGTCACTAATACAGCCAGAAGGCAAGTCCTTCCATTTACTCAGGGGTCTTGGTCCGGTCACAGAATCAGATCTTGAGGGCCTTATGAAAGGTTTTTAATATTTTGTTCACTAATCTATTTGGCTGATATTGTGAAAACTTTGCTTGGTATAAGAACTATTGTTTTAATTCTTTGCTGAATTGTACCACAGAATTCCTACCCTTTAAATTTTGATACTTTTTTTAAAAGGAGGCTTTTGAAATATTTGGACAACAATCCTTAAGCAGCATAACCAAGATCTACTTGGTTTTTTCCCTGTTTTCTAAAGCTTACCTTCCAGAGTTTTGAAAAAAATGTAAAATTTTAAAACAAAGGCCCGTTTTTCTTAGAAACTTAGGTCTATTTCCCTAGATGTTGTCTGTTCCACACCAGTATTCCCCTCTGTTCAAATTACATGTGAGATTTGCTGAGTTAATTTTGCTCCAGTCCCAAGGAAGTGAGTGAATATATTACATGATGGTTCTGTGCAAAAGGACTATAAAACTTGACTATTACCATTCTCTGGTATCTTTAGCCAAGCTGCATTAAGAGTAGAATTTGTCCTGTCATGATTTACATGATTTGTAAATAAAAATACCTTAAAGTAACCCTCTGCCTACTCACAAATTCTAATCTTTAAATTTACACTTACTCACTTATAAAAAATGTTTATTATTGCAAACATTCTACATTATATAGTTCGAGCACTGCCACGTCTTTATATTGTTATTATTTCAGAAGTCATTTCAAATAAATCAAAACATTTTTAGCATCAACTTATAATTGTAGAAGAAGAGTGGCTGAGCTGGAAGGCAGAATTAAACATGTCATCAGTTTGGAGCCATTGTGTTGCCACAAAAGACCCAAGTCCAGCAGCCCCATGAATTCCGTTGACCCTTATCCAGTGCTAATTTAGCTTTGATGATTACAATGGTTGGAATAGAATAGAGCTGGAAGGGACCTTGGAGGTCTTCTATCCAGCACCCTGCTGAAGCAGGAGAACCTATGCTATTTCAGATAAGTGACTAACCTCTTCTTAAAAACATCCAGTGTTGGAACACCCACGATTTCTGGAGGCTAGCTGTTCCATTAGTTAATTGTCTTCACTCTTAGGAAGTTTCTCCTTAATTCCAGGTTGCTTCTCTCTTTGATTATTTTCAAACCATTAAAACCACTGCCCCTCTGATGCTCTGGAGAAAAATTTCATCCCATCTTCTTTGTGGCAGCCTTTGAAATACTGAAATACTGCTATCATGTCACCCCTAATTCTTCTTTTCTTTAGACTAGCCAAACCCAAATCCTGCAGCCATTCTTCATATGTTTTAGTCTCCAGGCCTTTGATCATCTTAGTTGCTCTTGTCCAAAATTTTTCCAAAGTCTCAACATCTTTTTTGTAGTATGGTTACCAAAATGGGTGCAGTATTCCAGGTGTGGTGTTACTAAGGTTTTATAAAGTGGTATTAATACTTCACGTGATCTTGATTCAATGCCTCTGTTTGTACAACCCAGGATTGTATTAGCTTTTGGGGCTGCTGCTACACATTGCTGGCTCATAGTCAAGTGATCATTCACTAGAACTCCAAGGTCCCTCTCACTGTTACTGTTTTTAAGCCAGGTCTTGCCTAATCTGTACTTATGCCTTTGATTTTTCCTACCTAAATGTTAAACTTCGTTTTTCTGCACATTAAAATCAGTTTTGTTTGTTCAAGTTTGTAAGATCTTTTTGGATCCTGAGCTTGTCTTCAGGGGTGTTGTCTATTCCTGCAATTTTAATGACACTAAAGTTGATTAGATTCTTGTCTATAGATAGCAATAATAAACTCTTCTCACTTGAAATAAATGAATGGTTCTGCTTACATGCTCCTGACAATAACTGTCAATTGTAGTATATGTAGCAGAATATGACTTGCTGATAAATGTTGTTTGGTACTTAATTCAAACTTAAAAGTATGGATTATCTATCTGTCTGTCTGTTTGTCTGTCTATTTCCAACCTTTATTATTTTTATGAATAACTCAAGGCAGCAGATCTATCTAATCTAATATTCCTTCCAATTGTCATGAAGTCTGGTGCTTTTCTCCGAAGTACTACAGTCTAGTAGCACTAGCTTTTGGTCTCAGTCCATGCAGGGCTTTCCTGCATTGGCAGCTGGCAGAAGACTCATTCCACCAGGACCCCAGAATAAGCCAAGCTGGTTGGAAAGTCGCTTTGATATTAAACCGCTGCTGCTTTTTATGCACTTCTCAGTTGAGTTTTACTTTTTGGAATTATCTGAGAAATTCCCCTATATTGTGCCAATATCCAAAATAGAGTGAGCAAGTGGCACATAAGGGAAACCCATTACAGATACATGACTCTGGAGCAGTGTTTGAAATCCAAGATCATGAATGGTTTGTTATGTCACTACTCAAAAGCCTGAACCTTATAAGGAGAGAAAACAGCCAGCTCTCAGCACCTTCTGGGCATCAATTCTCTTATTCGTGGAATATGTGTGATGTGTATGATAAGCAGACTGAAATCTGTGTATCACTGCTATCTTGGCAGTGTCATTGACGATGGGATAAAGATGCTGTAGTATGAGTTACAGTATTAGGCATAGGAAATATCAGATTCCCAATCCTGAGTAACTTGAATATAAGATGATCAGAAACACACAGAGCTACAGAAGCAGAAATGTTATTATAGAGGGAAATCAGTATGGTAGTCTTTAAATAAACATATGAGCACACTCTTAGCCACAACAACAATGCATAGAGACTTGAAGAGAGATGAGTAATTCCAAATTCAGGTAGGAATTGTATACTTCTACACTTTAACTCATGTCTTAATATTAGCATGTTAGTAAGAAAAATACATTTGCCATTGATATCTACAATATCTAGCTTTTTAATAAGGAATAATTATCAATTAATGCAATCCCCAAATGCAAGGGAATCCTTATATGATTTTGATGCCAGCCAATCTTAGCTGAGCATGGAAAATTGAGTTATTAATGCATAGATGAAAGACCACCAGATAATAATAGGGCTGTAGCGCAGTCTGGGAAGTAAACAGTAATAATCCAGGGGAACGCAATGTTAAATCTCTCCCAATTTTTTGCAATAAAAGTACCATGCATTCACTGGAAGCTGAGTTCAGTCTGAGGGAAGCTTTAGTTCTCTAAAAGAAAAAAAAAGTTGCTTGTCTGTGTTACTTTCTTCAGCTAGTTTACCTTTTTCAGCCTTGCTGAATAAATCCCAAGTAAGTTGTTTGCTTCCTAATCCTGCAGATAATGCAATAAAAAGTCAGCATCACTAATTGGGTTTATGCTAGAAAGAATACAATGTTGAAACACAGGCACTGCAACCTGGGAGATGGGATACTTTCAGAATTTCCAACTGAATTTTCTGTCTGTCTTCATTCCCTCAAGAGGTGATAAAAGTTGGAGGGAAAAGTTCAAATGGGAGTTAACCACTATATAATCACTTAATAAAAAAAAAAAACTGTGACAGAAAAGCTGAACCCAGCCGTTTTTGACAGAATTGGGTCAAGGATGCAAGATCCTGTTGTTAATATCTCAGACTTAGAGAAAATAAGTTAGTACCCCATTATCTTCTCTTATTGAAGATTTAGTCATTAATTGGAGGTATGCATTGACTAGAAATAATGCTTAAATTATGTTATTAATCTTCAAGAAGCCTATATCTTATTTTCTATGATCTGGCTTCAGTCACCCCTGCAGTTTACTGTAAATGCTATTTGTTACACAAAACTTTTTTTTACCAAGCGGTAAGTCAAAGATTTGTTAACTTCCAGAAATGGTATTCAAGAAGAAATGATGATTTTGATGTTCCTTTATGAGCTGAAGAGGTCATCAGTAACTGCTTGTAAGAACTCTTATCTATACAAACACTTTAGACGTGTGTCTTTCTGGAGGCGTGCATGAGCATATGGGTGACATGTCAAGACAAGACACAAATATTTTTGATTTTGCAGAATGCTAAAATGTTGATTGATGTAGCCTGATCTGCTGCTTTATATGTAAAAGCTTCC